AAAACAGTGAAGCTCCCTTTGCATTAGAGGGGAAGTTCATCCTATTTTAATGGAGTTTACTATTTGTTATATCTTCTCTGGGCTAACACATCTGACCATACGCATGTGCGCAGACTGTATATCTCACATGCACAACTCAACTTGCTGTGTGCACGCATGCACAACACATATTTAGGCACCTGGATTAATTAATGGAAAGTCCTATACCAGACTAACAGGCTGAGTCTAGGTTGTTATTTGCCTTCACGTAGCCCAAAAAATTGTGGAGGACAGCTGAGGGTGAGGTGACTTTGCGGATGAAAAATTGGTGGTGATCACTGTGCAGTGCCTACATGAATAACACGCTCATCGTTCAAATCAAGGTGATTTTTACTTGCTCAGTGGAGCAGTTGTGAGCATGGTGGTGGATGCACAGGTAAAAAGCAAGCATTGCCTGTTTAGCTTGATGCCAGCTCTCCAGCAGAAAACAATATGGAAACGGCCAACACCTTTCAGGATCCTTCGAGAGCCAAGTGGGGGAGAGATTAGTAAACAATAGTGAGAAAAACTGGGTCTGAAAAGAGACTGTAGTGCAGGAACTTGCTTTAAAAGAGAAGGCTCGCTGCTAGCCTTCAGTCCAGAGATAATTGTCTAGAGCTCTTCCCTTACTCTTTTTGGCTGAAGATCAGACCTGGCAAAATTAATTTCTTTGTTGTCTTTATTTTACTGAATGAGTTGAGTTTTTCTAGTACTATGTTAATTAGCTAGTCCTACATATAGAAGTCTTTTTATATATATAGTTCCGAATAAATTTTGGAAGATAAAATGTGGTCATTTGCTACTGCTCTTTGCACTCAATTCCCCATATGACTATAAGGGTCTTTGCCGTGGTCTCCCCCACTGCCCTGTAATTCTTGCTGAGAGCTGGCCTGTCTAGAGGGTGAGTCAAAGGCCCTCGGCCAGGCACGGGCTGTTTTTTCCTCTGAAGAAGTGCTCTTGTCCCTGTATTAGAGACTATGAATTTCTCCTGTCCTCTTTTCTTTTCACTCAGTGTTGTTTCCTAATCTCTGGCATGAAATACCTGAGGTGTTAGGGTTGCATTGCCCATAGCAACTTTTGCTAGGGAGCTGGCAGGGGTGGTAACAACCGCAACTTGAAAAGTCTCTGCAGATGTCGAACTGAAAACAAAGGATCAAGCCTGTTTCTGATGCACATGTGTGCTGCAAAGGGCAGATAACCTTTCAGGGCTGCGTCTTAAAATAATAAGCAGAGCTGGTGTAGCTGCTTTCATGCTGTGGCTTCCCCAAGCATGCCGTGAACTTCTGAACCATGATTGCCATTAAAATCTTTACAATTGCCTTTTGCAAGGAATTAGCATCACTATGCGAGCTGTAACACCCCAGTGATATTTATGGAGAGCAATTGAATTATAAAGGTTGTAATGGCCTTGCTACCCTGTTCCTTGCTTCTGGAAGGAGGGGGCTGAAAGATGCCTAGGCTTTAACTACTGTACAAGCCAAAAAATTAATGGTTAAGGAGCCCACGTAATCTAAGGTCTTCTGAAAGATACATACCTTCAAAGCAGCTGAAAGAATGCAATATGTAATCAATGTCCAATTCTGATAACGTAGCCCCCTGACATATTTGAAAAGGCAAGGTGTGGGGTTGATGTGTTTGAAAAGTGCTTGAAAAGACAAGGTTGATGTGTAAGCTGCTGATGGTAGTTCATGTTGTTACTTTGCTCGGGTGGATGATGCTGGTCAGATCCTCAGCTGCTGAAAATCTGTGAGAGTCTAGTTGTTAAAAGTGGGCAAATACCACCGAGGTGAAAACAGACCCTGCTGATCTGCAGTAGCTAAGGATCGCCTTGCGTTTGGGGATGCGCTGATGAGTTTGACTTTGGCAGGGGCAGACTCTCTTGCTAACCATGTTTTTTGTCTGTTCTGTTTTTTTCCTGTCTTGCAGCACCTTCTCCAGTCAGTAGTGTGAAAAAAGGGAAGATAACTAAAAATAGCATCTCCCTTTCCTGGCAGGAGCCAGATCGACCCAACGGCATCATCCTGGAATACGAAATCAAATATTTTGAAAAGGTGTGACGGAGTGATTGCTGAGCATCCCAAGTACCTTCTCTTTACTGTCCTCTTCTTTCAGTTACAATTATTTGAATCATAGAAGGGAATGGAGTGATTTTATGCATAAATCAATGTCAGATTGATTTTACAGTAAATGATTAGAAAGACTTGAAATGGGGGTGTTATTTTCCATTAGTGTGCCACTTCTCTTGAACAAATACATTAAATCTGCATGTCAGATTCCTCTCTGGCCTTATTACATTAAGATAGAGCCTGCTTATTTGTTAAAAATAGGGTTGGAGATCAAGCACCTATCTCCTCCCCAAAACATCAGGCTATCCCTGCCTTTGATATTTCGTTTTCTCACTTGATTTTGCATCCATGGTGTAAGGAGAGGAGAAGGATTTTGCAGAGAGATTGTATCTGCTCTGACATGAAGAAGGGCATCGTGACTTAAAAGCTTGCCTGGATTTTCCAGCTTGTGGTCTTGGTCTAATGGAAAACACTCTCTCTTCCTACAAAACTTGCCTTTCCTAGTCGTCATTTCAAATGGCAACTTGTTCTCTTCCTGTAAAATTAATGAAGTTTAAATGAAAATGGTAACAAATACACTTTGTCTAAATAGCTTCTTTTGAGCGATGCAGCCTTAGATCTTTGGAAATCTTAGATTTCCAAAAATGAAGTTTGCAAGAGCTGACCGAATAGCAGTTTCTTGCCTCAGCTGGGATTGTAGGGTGTTCTTTTTTGTTCTGAAATAGCCAGGCTTTCTACAAGAAAACAAGAAGAAAATAATGAAATTGAGTCACAATTCAATTTTTTGTGGGGTTGCATTTCTGTTTTAAGGAAGATCTACCATTAGTTCTGCCTATGACCCAGGTGAAATCTCTCAACATGGACCAGGACTGGGTCCTTACTCCTCTTCTTTCTCTGACCATGGAGGGACCTGCTTAGGCAGCCCATGCAAACAGGGGAAATGCTTCTGCATCAGGATAAAATCAACATTATTTTTGCAGATGAGGGAGCTTGGGCAAGGGCACAAGATGCACAAGTGGCTTAAATAGGGCTGAGGTTTTCAAAAAGCTTGAAGCACAGAGCGAGAATCAGGATATGCTATTGCTGGAAGTAATACATTACAGACTCTTTTATTAAGTTGTTTGAATGACTGTTGTGGGCATTGAATCCTTACTGTGGAGTGGCCTGGGAAGATTAGCCCCTAGAAACCTTGATAATGAGCAAATAATTATAGCAAAAAAATCCATATATTTGTTCTTTTTACTTAGTTTATTTTCAAACAAATCATGGGGTGGGGGGAGCTTAAAACGTTGTATTTGTGGTCCAGATCAGTCTCAAATAGTTTCATTAAATAGTTCTTCAAGTGCAAGTCCTTCACAGGGAGGTAACTTCAGCCAGTCCAAGTTTCTACTGTCGTTATTTATTTCTTTCAGGCTGATGGCAAAGCTTAGTGTTTTCTGTAAGAAAGCCCAAGTATTTAAGTGTTTGCAGGAGCCAACAGTGTATTGAAAACCTAATTGGGCTGACATACAGGCAAAGATGTGACCAAATATTCACTTACTGCTTTTTAACCAGTCATTGAGTTAGATTTAGGATGTTGTCCTTAATCCTTCTTGTTTGTTGCTACTGTCATTCATATTCTCTCGGTTTTCAGTGCTTCATAAGGGTAAATTGCAGTGTTCATTTCCAAGGGATGAGAATGATCTGTATTAAATGTTTTGGAAAATTGAGTTTCGCATTCTAAGAGAAATCTCTCCTTAACAAGAAAAAAAAAAAAAAAGCATATATGTATACAGACACACACACACACATTTCTCCAAAACGGTCTTGTGTAGCTACAGGCTTCAATCACAAAAACTGTAATCGTACATTTGGAGATTCCCAGGGCCTTATCCACACATATTACTGTCAATGGAAAGTTGCCCGTTAAATTAAAAAGAAAAATCAGTTCAGATCCTAAGAGCTAGACAAAAATCTTGGTAGAGAATTGCTAAGAACTCCTGTTTACCTCATAATAATTTGGATCTGAGAGGATGTGGCGAATAAAAAGCAGTTTCCAAGTTTGTAGACCTTAATTTATGAGCTCTTGTCTAGATTATGTGTTACAGTAAATAATTCTCAGAGTAATTACCAAGCATTTGAGCGAAATTTTAATCAAAGAACTGAAACTCTTTCGCATTAGAAACTGATGTAAATGAAGATTTATTTCAGCAATTTTTCTTCAAGTTCATTGCTTCAGAAGAACAATGCAAAATTAGGTATTTTCCTGGAGTTTTGGTTTATTATTCCCTTCCCACACTCTAATTCGTGGTTCCAGAAATGCCAGCATAAAGTTGTACAATGCATAATTTATTATTCTCTTTTAGGCCTAATTATGTTACTGGGAAGTTTTGGTATAAATTAAAGTCCCTTTCTAAGGTGATCAGACTTTTTTCCTCTTCCCTGTGCCTTGGGATTGATCTTTGTAGGATGAATCTTGCCATTGCCCTGGGCCATGTATATCCCAAGCAATGGAAAGCTGCTCCTACTGCAGGTGCTGTTTTGGTCCCTGTATTGTCATTTATGGGTGGAAAGTCCCTCTCCTCTGTTTCATACCTCCTAGAGTCATTCATTATAAAAGGTAAAATCAGATCTCACATTTTGTACTGCAGCAAGGGGCCTTCGGCGTGGGGGGCGGAGGGCGACAGAGTTGAGGAAGAGATTCTCCAAAATACTATTTCAGTCATCCTTTGTAATGTTGCTGTGGGGGTTGTCAAGAGCCACTATTTGCACATTTGAACTTTGTGTTTGGGGCGGGGGGGTGTGTGTGTTGGGAAAAGGACCAGGAAATGAGCTACACCATCATCAAATCCAAAGAGACGACAATTACGGCAGATGGCTTGAAACCAGGCTCAGCATACGTCTTCCAGATCCGAGCCCGGACAGCTGCTGGCTACGGTGGCTTCAGCCGAAGATTTGAGTTTGAAACCAGCCCAGTGTGTAAGTCCTTTTAATTACTGTCAGCCCATGTCTCTGAAACGGTTACCAGAAACAAGTCAGGGGATCGATAGCTTTTCAGAGAGCTCTTCCTCATCCTGACCTCATCCCTTGGCTTTGGAAACATCAGGCACACCATGACCATGCACTAGACAGGCTAACACATCTGTCCTTGCTTCCTTGACTCATGTGGTCAGGCAGGAGGTGAAGTCAGGGAATCTTCAAGCTCCAGAGCTTTGTAGCGTTCCCTGCTTAGAAAAATACTGTATTTATGAGAGCTGATGCAAGAGAGGACAAGGGCTCTCCTCAGGAGGGACAAAGGGGATGGAACCTGCTCCTCTGCACCTCTTAATGGCTGGCTGCAGAGGATGCTGAGCTCTCTTAAATATCTGCATCTGGGGAAAAAAAAACCTGGAATGGTGCCTCTCTGCAAGGGGAAGAAATGAACCAGCATTAGCGTCTTTTGGTGTAAGTTCCTGTCAAGATGAAAGATGGTTTCTGTTGGCTGCCAATGCCACAGCCTCAAGGAAAGGAATTTGACTTGTGATCAGAAATGGGGAAGATGTGCACTGTAGGCAGAGGACTTTTGCTTGGCCTGTTACAAATTTATGGGGTTTGAATTTTTTCTTTTTTTTCCAAATGAATCTGATCATCTGGGTCTGGATTCTGGAGCATATTCTGTGGCAGGGTGAACTCCTGAGGCCCACAGAGGCTCAGATGCTCTTTCAACTTTGTTCAGGCACAACAGGGGAAATTCTTTTTGTCCCAATCGCCAAATTTTTGCAGAGATTCCAAAGATAATTTTCTCCCTCAGAAAATATGTCCTATCTATTTCAGTTTGTACAACTGTAATTTATTAATTTTTTATACTGTTTGCATGGAAGAGAAATTTTGTGGTGGAAATACTCTTCAATCCTGTGGGAAAGAGCCTATTTTCTGTATGTTTTTCTTGGAAATTTAAATTTGTCAATACTTGGATTACTGTTACTCCAGTTCATTTAAAATTCATCATCTTTGAGAAGAAGATGCCAAGTTGTCTTTTCAATGCATGCTACCTTTGAAGCCGTAATAGATTTTAAAGGAATCATTATACATGTGCAGATCTGGCTGTGGAGCCGGTGATTGAACTAATACAGTGCAAATTGCATCACGATGCAAACATTAATGCAATAAGAATGATCTATTTAATGTATTTCTTATTGTATTAGCCATTAATAGTGCCCTATAAGTAGCAACAAAATCATGTTATGCCAAAAATGATTCTATATTATACTAAGGAAATTTTGCTTGCAGTTGGGAAGTTTCTAGTTTAGAGTCATTTGAGTGGTAGTGTTCCAGACTATAAATAAATAATACATGAAACTGTATGCACATTTGATCCAATGCTGTCAGTACCTAAGATCCTGGTCCAAAAATAATGGCATTTCCACAAAGTCCATCATGTAATTATCTGTGTTAATCAGGATTTTTTGAGGGCATCACGTGGTAATATCTTTAAACTCCTTGAGTCATTTAGTCACACCCGAACCCCAGTCTTTTTAGCATTTTAAAGACAGAGGAGTAGGTACTTCTCTGATACTAAGGAGCTGCCAGCATAGTCAGAGGAATACCTACTGCATGGTCCCCAGTTTGGAAGCTGGGAACTGTTCCTCTGTTGGACTTGAGCTCTGGATGAAGCAGGACTTAACCAGATGTTTAATCGCTTAGTAGAATTGAAATGCAACACAAACCTCAGTATCTTGCAAAATGGAGCTCCATTTGACATTTAAAACCTTTTAAAAAGAGATTATATTTTTTTCCAAGGCCCTCTATAAAGTCAGTATTAGTACCAGCAGTGTGACCAGACTCCCACTGCTTTTCTGCACATCCCAAAGAATCTGAAAGCAAACACAGATCGAAATCTCACTGCTACATCAGAGTTCAGATCTGAAACTCTTCTTAGAGCCAAAGCAAATTATTTTCATTCAGGCACAAATGAAAATCTTTTGAGTGACTGTTGTGAGAATCAAAACCAGACTCCAGAGTCGTTTGGACCAAACAACAGGTTTTATTTCCAGTTCGCAAGGTTTCTGTAAAGTTATTTACAGAATAAATAGAGGAAATACGAAACAACAGCCTGACAAATGCATTGGGGTGAAGCCGTTATTGGTTTTAGACTTTTTTTCCAGATGTTGGGATTTTTTTAGATACTGCTGCCTACATGTGCAATTCTGCAAAGCGCAGTGATGCAGCCAGGGCTGCGTTTGCAGCAGAAGTTTTTTATTTGGGTGGAAGCTGTTGCTGGGTGTATCCACTTGCTGCTGTCCTCCTTTACAAATGCTACTGAGCTTATCTAGCCCTGATAAAACTAACCTTGCCAAAAGCTGTTTTTTGGCTGGATTGGTGAGTTAATCCAGCTGGTCAGCCAGACAGGAGTGGGAACATCTCACCAAATTGAGAAGGAGTAATGCAGGTCGCCCCTGGCTTTAAATGGCAGCAAGGTCCCAGCTCAACTTATGAATTCAGGCTTTTTAGCTGCTATAGATCAGAACAGGATTTATCTCATTTCCCCATCCCTCGAGCTGTGCAAAAACCACTAGTCACAGCTTAATGTTCTCCTTTAAATGTTTTTTTTCTTTTTAATTATTTTGTCAGGAAAGCAATAAAACATCATCTTAAGGAGCCTCCATAAATTCGTGAGGCTAATAAAATCTCTGGATGATGGCACGGGTTTGGAGCAGTTAACATTAAATGGTTAATGTATCGCAGCCAGTCCTTCTGAAATCATTTACATTGCTGTAGCAGGTCTCCGCTTGAGCACCGGAGGGCTCCCATATGAAGAGCTACTTGAAACCCATTGTGGATCAATGTTTAATGCTGTACTTTTTTGTCTTTCTTTTCTTTTAACAATTAATATGGGACTATATTCAGTTATTTTATAGCCTCCATAAAGTTAATCCTGTGCTAAGGACCCCTTTTTACTTTAATCATTTAGTTAAAGGCTTCTTCAGTCCACAATCGAT